ATAATAAAAAACAAACATTTAAAGTGTGCAACATTTTATAGTACTAATTTAAGCTAAATTGTGTGAATTATATAATTTTATATTATTAAATCGGTATTATTTAGTACTAAAATAGAGAAAAGTATTGCACACTTTTAGTGTTTTTACTCTACTTTACAAAATGCTTTAAAAGTGTTTTTAAAGTGAACGAGCATCCAACTTAGAAATTCCAAATTTAACTCTTGGGTATACAAGTTCTGGCACAATCCAGTTGTTAAAAAATGATTCTAGCCTGGGCAAAATAGATTCCCAGCGATCCCTTGAGAAATTCACTCTTTCACAAAACAGTGAACTACAGCTTGAACCCTTTACAACAAAGTCTGTCCATTTTCTCTTTGCCACAAACATCTGCTGTTGTACTTGGTAAAAATATTTATGTCTCTCATTTAATCTTACAATGTCATTGTTTTGTTTACAAATGCCTTTGCGCACTAATGCCATCTCTAGTGTTTCATCTTTTGATGTCTGAACATACTTTACTTCTATAAGTCCTTCTGAATCATCAGTTGATGGATCATATACAAGACCATCAGGGCTTGCACCAAGGAAGCAATGATCTTTTGAAACAAAAAAACCACACTTAGAGATTTTGATGCCTTCAGCTCCTTGAGTTTGCTYGAAAAGCTTGTAATCATYGATAATCTGGTCTTCCATCTTTAATCCTTCCTCCATTGATTTACTTTGGAATCCTTTATTGTAACCAAGTACATCTCTGATAATCTTGGTAGGAGATGTGCTCTCTCTCTGTACAGCTACTCGGTAACATTTCGTAGCAGTTATCCTTGGTTGTCTGTGATGATGCCACAAATCAATGTTCGATTGACCTCTAGTTTGTTTCTCAATTTCTTTCACTTTCAAATCATCAACCATAAGATTTCTCTTAACTTTATCAAATTTTTCTTTCMACTCTCTAGCTGAAACAGGATGACATTTTACTGGTGAAATGGCAGGCTTCTTTACTTCTTGCGGCAGAATATGCGTCCAGGCAAGAATATTCCCTGATAGCTTTTGATACTCTTTCATCATTTCTAACATTTTTGCAGTTTTTTCATCTTGACAACTTTCTGTGGTTGAATTTTCCTTGGAGTGATGARGCTTGGGTATCTTTTTTTCTTTTGCATAATCATGCTTCACGAAACTCATTTTAGCTATTGGCTGTACAGGGCCTTTTCTCTTTCGAGGGACATTCCACTTACAGGGTTTAGACGTACAAGAATCATCTGTGTCTACTACTGTTATCTTCTGTCTTTCTTTACRATGTTGTTCCAGTGCAAACAGTGTTGATGCAACATGGTTGCATCGGCCATCTATGCCAGCAGGGCATCTGCAGTGTGCCCTCAGCATCTTGCCAAATGAGCTAATAACTAAAAAACATGTGTAGACTTTGTCTTTTTTCATTGATGGCAGAACTTGACTCTTGATAAAGTGTTTGCCGTTTTCATGTAAGTGGCCAATGTAAAGGACATGTCCAGATTTGAAGAAATTGAAGCCCTTTACAAGTGGTTTTGCAGTGGAGAGCTGCTTTTTGCACTCTACTCCCTCTATCATGAATCTCCACACRGTTCCAAATGATATTTTTGGAAGTCCCTTTAGATCGGCTTCGAATCCTTCTTTAGGGAAAGTCTCCGTGATCTCTGGTTCTTGGTGGTCAAGGACGCCAAGTTTTGCCTTCTTTCGTAGCAGGTTTACACCACCGTCTGGATCACGCAAGTATTTAACGTCAAGACTATGTTTCATGTAATCCTGTACTCTGTAATTTGAAATAATAAGATATATCAATGAAATGAGGCTTTATGCTGCATTGGAGTTCGAAAATCTAGCCTGTATGATATGCGAGTCTTATAAGTTAAATTGTAACGCCATATACGAACCTTGAGACTAAAACTTTCTTTACTCCTGTTGTTTTTGCGCCTCTACAAAGCAGCCACCTCTTTAGTTGAACACAACTACATTTCTCAACAGAATCCCATGGAAGTTTCGCTCCAGGAATGTCACTTTCTGTTAGTTTTACTATTTTAGTATCTACATTTACACTGTCAGCCATATTGTTTGGACTCTGGCTGTCCCTCCAAACAATCCATAGATGCTTTGCGGTCGTAACTCGAACCCAGATCCCGGCTCGTTTAGAACATGGCGAATCTAAGATGTTTCCTATAAACCTCTGCAGCTTCAGCTATGTGGGTGTTTGATAACTCACTTTATTGTAATGAATACATAAATAAGCAGCATAAAAAACACAATGTCCTCCAAATTTCATATTTTTCTTAATATGCCATAAGTCAAAGTAATGGGTAATGGTAGGAAGTCTCTTTCTCATGTGCTTCGCAATGGATGTATGGCAATCAGTAATTAGTGTTCCAATAACTGCACCTGGCCCCAAAACAAACTCCATACATTGCTGAAGCCCCATGTATTCCATGGCAGGACTGTTGCCAGCTTGATTTCTCTACAAGAAAATTGAATTTCAAATTGCTTGCTTGAAATGCAAGCTGAATGGTTAACTTGAGATATATACTCACCTTTCTCTGCAGTAAATAAATTGAGAATAATGCATKTGTGTATAGAGTAATATAAATTATTTCCAAATGCCCAACATGATAGTCGCACAAGTGAACACAGGCAATGAGTATGAACATCAAATGGACAAGAGAACGTTTTCATATTTATAATCCTCCATGCATAATGCATAATCCTCCAAGTGAATAATTGCAGTAGTACAGCAGCAGAAGATTGTATATACTTGGCACTATGGCCCATACTGTCGTGCTTTGCATCACTGCCTATGACAATAGGGTCCTTCTTCCCTACCAGGGTGTCTTGTTTCACTCCCTCGTGTTGGGGCGCTACTTGATTTTAAAAACTACACTGTTACTCCGTTGTCAAAAACCTTTAATTTTCTGTACGATGCGCACTTGGCTTAAGGTCAAGTTAGGTAGGTGAGTGTCAACTGAAAATTATAACAATTACAAAATATGTGAAAATTTGTCTTAAACATTTCTATAAAATCAAAGTATAAACGATTGAATACTTACAAAATCTGTAGGGGATTCTGACGGAGTGAATTATGTATATATTTCGCGTAAATTGAACTAAGAATCACAGCTTAGAAAACTAATAATGATGAAAAGGTAAATTATTAGAAAAATGATCACTTATCTTTTTTATCTCCTTGTGGTTTTTTCCATAACTCTCCCTTGTCACATTTSCCCTAGGGGGTTACGGTAGGGAATTTTGTCATTGTGCAATACATGTCTATCATCTTTTTTGGTATCTCTGCCAGTGAAGATAAATTGCAGGAAATATCTTGTTCTTTTGATGCAACAAGAAATATTAGTGATATTTATAATTTCGGGGGGACCACAAAATCTTAATGTTACCTTTTGATATGAAAAGTAGGTTTTCAGTGAAATGCAGCACATGCCCAAGTAGAAAAAGATCCAGAAAACTTCACTTGCTGTGCCACCAACAGCAAGAATGGTGAAACACAGCAGAAAGTTACCAGCATGCATCTTTGTTCCAGGCATTTATAAGCTGGCTATTCCAGGTGTGGTCCTTCTTGGGGCATTTTGGATCTGAGCAAAATGTCTTGGCTGTAGCCATTGTCTCTAATGACTCTGTTTGTACAAGGGGATTGTCTGACTTATTTGTGTAAACCACAAATAAATCTACCCCTAATGAAGAACCCTAAGTCAGCATTTTTTCAATTTTTAAGAATAATTTATTTCTATCCACAAAGTAAACAGAGAAATACGCTTACTTTTTAGATGGGATTTCATTTTCTAGTTCATCCTCTGTGTCTGTTTCCACTTTGGGTCTCTTGAGGGTTGGAAAATATTCACTTTTACTATATACTCCAGGTTCAACTTCAGTGCTAATGAAACTCTCATTTAGTGCCTCCATCTCATCACTATGGTTACCTTTGATGTCCTTCTCAGTTTGTTCCTCTTTTGAGTCACATTTGAGTGCTGAAGTGTAAACAATTACAAAAGATAGACATATAATTCATAAATTGAAAATCTCCAACCTGAATCACCAATTGAAGCTAGAAACAATTCCTGGGGTCATCAGAGTCATGTAACTCGTTGCTAGCTCAAACAACAAACCCTGAAACAACCTCTAAAGTAATCTAAGTCAGGGAACGGCTAACTAGCTTGACACAGTATAACACAGCATAGTTAATTGAGGGGAATGGTTATGAAACCCAGCGAACTTCAAAGAGCCGGCCTGTTGTTTCGCTTCTGAGGTTGGATTGCGTGTAGTCTAAACAATATGGCGGACTTGAACGATTTGTTTTTATTCAGAGATGATTTTGACGCTATTTTAGGCATTTTAGAGGACGAAGAAGAGCTCGACGAACATTTTAAAGAAGCAGCTGATGAAGTAAGTGTTATAATCGTCTGTAGCTACTCAAAATATGATAGAAAACTATATGTTATGGTGTTGTTCAAACCAGCCATGTGATCTGGCTCAATCGATGGTCTGTGCTTGATGTYATAGGAGCTTTTTTTGTTATTGCAAACTAAATCAGCAATACTTACTTATATCGGCAGCTATGTTATTATCGAGAACTATATCGAGAACTATAATACAACTAGATTTCGTGGGTATCCTTCGTTACCTCGTATTTAATGAAAACTAAATCAGCAATACACTTCTAAATATCTTACAGCTGAACAAAGTGCTGCCACAGGATGTAATGGCCATCATTCCACAGGTACCTACAAAGCGATAGTAAAATTTTAATAAACAATACATAATACATCTTATGATCAACACATATGCACAAATTTATCCATTAACAAACAAACATTCAACAAAYAAGCAATGTCAACAATAAAAAAGAGTAATAAAAACATAAATACAAAACATGTATTGGAACAAGTGTATACAGTATGCTAAACATAATCTATTCACCACAAAAAATCTGATAGTCAAGATCAAAATAGCCAGAATAACAAAAGAGAAATAAATTATTCTGAAATGCCAGAAGTATACTGTTTGTGGTGCATAGATTTAACTTTTATTCCATTTTGTTACGATACAACGTAATGCATTTGAGAACTTCGTAGAACTGTAGCTAATTTACATTATGTATATTTGCTACAGGTTTACAAAGTTCTCAAGAAAGAAAAATAATGTCAGTCATTTTACGAAAACTTACCGGGTGCAAGATCCATGGCCAGAGCTGTAAAGGCAGTTTCTTGTCATCTTCACCAAGTGTGGTGCATCAGAAAAGAAATATGTACCGATGGGGTGCATATAAGTTAATGGTCCGGTAGCAGACATCACCACCGGTACAACAGGTGCAGCACTGTTCATCATGCTCAAACAAAACTTCACAATCACGAGTCCTACAATATTCTTGATGGGGGAATGAATTATCATCATCTTCATTGTCACTGAACAAAGGATCAACAGACTTTGGAATGACATGGTGCACTAWATTGCTTGAGACTTCAAATGGTTTAACTCCAGGGCAAATCAGTAGTGTGTCAATTCTCTTTACTAGGTCGGAAACGGTTACATTTCTGACAGGTCTCAAGTTTGAAGTGTATAATTCGTAGTCATTAGGCAGAAGCCATCCATATACTGATACAGAGAAACCCAGACTATCATCGATTATTATCTCAACTTGTGGAAGAATGAGCRAGCTTTTCTTTCTTAAAACAACCCTATCTTCTGTTTCTTTGATTGTCCAGCGATTTAGAGCTTTCAAAGTTTTTACTCATTTCCGTAGATCAGTAAGTCCTTGGTAGTATTTCTTGTCAGTAGTGACAGAGTTGTCTTCTTTGACCACAGATCTAGAGGCACGAGCAGGGATGACTTTTGACGTGTCGTGGCTTCGCTTTGGCATGTTGAGAGTTGGTAATGCGCCAACCATAGGCTTTTTCATCATCTTTTCTGATTAAACTGAAATAAAGCCAAATAGAACCTATTTTAAAACAGAATAAGGAAATGAAAAAGCTCATAGAAACGAAAGAATACAGGTGTCACGCTAAGTTTATAACGTAATGTTGACGAATCTCACACGAGCTCAACTTGGGTAACGATTCCAAGTTATAGATCGATTTTAAACAACAGTACTTAAATTTCTCAATATCCTCTGGTCTGAAATGTCTTTCACATGTAAACACTCTGTCATTGTTGATCTGTTGTTGGAAATCTTTGTCGATTACTCTTGTTTTGCTAAGCTCGTTGAGCCAGTTTTTTCTCCAGGTCTCATACTTGGCATTTCGTGGAGCTGGCAGTTTCCAAATGCCRATTCCTTTGGTTTGTCRGCATGAACCRCAACCAAAGACCGAGCAGTTAACGCCAGGCATTTGGAATTTATTTATGAGACACGATCCAAGTTGACAGAACTACATTCTAAGCATTTAAAGTAATTCACAAAACTACACAACTCTTGTTAACAACGCCATCTTGCATATGAGTGTGCACTGTCATTGTCACATGACTTCGAAAAACTCAAACAATAACCTATCTCTTTGAAGTTCGGTGGTGATTTATGAAGACACACTGAACTTACATGTAAAACCCTGAATACTTGACTTTCAGGTTGCCCTGTCATCAGATACGGTAAATCAAAGGTACACATATACATACCTGATTGCAAAGTTTGAATTGACCCTTTGATTCTCTTGTTCCCTGCTTTGGATTTCAACAATCCTGTTGTTCAATAATCTCGTCTTTCCAAGTAGTTCCTGGCACCTATGACACTTTTCCACTAAAGGCTCAGTTTGCATAAACGAATCCTAAAATGAAAAGTTCAACGTCAAAGACATTCTTCATGTTCTTTTTAGCGGGMTACCTGTGGTAACACGGTCGTAAAATACTTTTTTTTTGTCGTCTTCTGCTCAAGAAAATGGCAAAGATAGATAGATAGATAAATAGATAAAAACGGTGAGAAAATACAACATAATCTCTCATTTACTGAATATAATTTTA